ATGTATGTATGTATGTATGTACTGTGTTTATGTACAGTATGTGCAGCTATAGATACACCTACAGAAATCGGTGCACACGTAGCCGTTTACATAGTTTACAGCTATACATCCAGACCTGTCTACTGTTTAGTGCATATACACAGGGATATATCCCATGCGCACGGCTGGGGGCTGCGAGGGTTTAGGGTTTATGGTTTAGGGTTTAGGGTGTGATCGGAAGGAGTTTGCTGGCAAAGCCTACTTCCGCAAGGCAACGACCGACACTGAGGATTCCACCCTGTTGCCCCAAACCCTATAAGGTCGCATGAAAGCCCCAATATAGGGGCCGAAATAAATACCAGTATTATTTTGGGGGTTCCTTAATGGAATTACAGTATAATGGGCCCCGAAACCCTATTCTAATTGTTAAGGCCCCTATATTACGCCCTACCACCCGAAACCCTGAAACCCACACACCCCAAACCCTCTGGGGCTTAGAGCTGCGAGTCGTTCCGGTCGGAGTTCGAAGATCGGAGGTTCGAATCGTATCCCTTGAAAAGCAGTCCCTGTGTGAGTTTACTGACTATACCGACACCCTGAAACCCACTTCTGGCCCCTAGATGAGAGGGTGTTCCTGATGAAGGAGCCCATGCAATTTGTCTTGAGGCAGGGGATTTCTTCGGATTTTTGACCCGCAAAGCGTCGAAGACTATTAATTAAGAGACAGGTTTAGGGTTTTGATTTTAGGATTTTAGGGGTCTGAGGGTTCAGGGTTGAGGCAGCAAGGCACAGCATCCCACTGGCCGTACCCTGATGGGTGAACATCCTAGAAGATCGAGCCCCGCAGCATGGACCATATATATATATATACATATATATATATATATGTATGTATACACATATGTATATGTATATGTATATTGCATATGTATATGTATGCGTATACGTATATGTTTATGTATATGTATATGTATATGTATAGGTATATGTATATGTATATGTATTATATGTTATGGGTGCAAGATAGGGTATTGTTCAACGTCTCCCTGTTCCAACCTTCAAAATTCCAACCCTAAATCCTTAAACCCTACACCCTAAATGCTAAACCCTCAAGCCTAAACCCCTAAACCGTAAACTTAAATCCTACACCCTGAACCGCAAATCAAAAGCCTTAAGCCCTAAATCAAAATCCTAATTCCCCGTCAGGGGGACTTCAAGAGTTGCTGCACGACGAGCCTCAGTGGCTTAGGGTTTTTGCATCCCGCTTTTTGTTTTTGAGAAAGCTGACAAAAACCTTTGGCGCCCTGTAAAAGCCGAATACGCCCTCAAAAGGTTCAGGGCTTAGGGACCCTACACCCTAAACCCTAAACCCTAAACCCTTTTAGGGCTAGTGGGCTCTGTTGACTTGAGACCGAAGGTGGACGTGGCCCGGAACCAGCAGTTGGCGCACCAGCAGAACATCCGTGCACCGGCAGAAATAAAGGGTTTAGGGTGTAGGGTTTAGGGTTTAGGGTTTAGGGTTTAGGGACTCATCACTACCCATAGGCCCTAAAGTAGTTCTTTTTTGGGGCTCATATATAGAATCCTACAAGGTAACCCTAAAAAGGAACTACTTTAGGGCCTATGGGTATGATTCTGATTCTGGCAGAACTAACTCATCATTAGGACCCAGAAACTCCAATACCCCTTAATTAAGGAATATACCTTGACGTATAGTAGGATCCCTAATATGATTTAAGGTCTATTCCTTAATTAAGGGGTATTGGAGTCTCTGGGGATTCTGATTCTGGCAGAACTAACTCATCATTATGGTTCTGATTATTGATTCATGTTTATTCGCGTTTATGATCATTACTGAAGCTTTCTTTCACTGCTGATATAAGATCATGCTTTTCTGAGTTTATGGTCATTGTCACTATCATAGTACAGTAGCTCCAACTTGGTAGGAGAATGCCTTGGCGCAACCGTCGTTTGCATACCGAAAACCTTTCTTCCCAGGATCCATGCCGACATTTCAGTTCTGGATGCGGGGAAAGAAGCGACATCAGTTCTCCGGCGCAGACGAGTGCCCGGCGCTTGTATTACGCAGTCGCCCCTAAACCCTAAACTTAAACCCCCAAACCCCCAAACCCCTAAACCCTAAACCCCTAAACCCTAAACCCTAAACCGGTTATGAGGCAGGAACCCCCTAAGCCTCTAGTCCAGCTATTCAGGACTTCAGGCCTAAATCTTACCCCTCAAGCCCTAAGCGCTCTCCACCAAGCGTGCCCCGACATGCAAAGCTCAGATCCTTAGTCCCCCCCCTTCCAAAAAAAGGCACTGAAACATAGAGCATGGGTTGAGGGTTAAGGGTTTCGGGGGCTTCGTGGGGGTATTACCCGTAAATTTTAGGTGCATCTTTTCCTGGCTTCGTTGGATCCCTCTGCCAGGTACTCGCTGAGAGAGTGGACGCAGAAGCTGATCCAGGAGGCCTCTTTAAGTCGCGTGTTTGAGGTCCCACTAAAGAACACAAACTAGTCCAAACCTGAACAAAACTAAATGCCGCATCCTAAACCCCAAGCTCCTAACCCTAAATCCTGTGCCCAAGCCCAAACTTTATGTCGCCGACGCCCCACACCCCGGAAGCGGCAAAGCTTAGACGCGCACAGTGGGGGGCCACAAGGTGGCAAACAAGGGTCCTAAATACTCCGGTAAGGGCATATGGGTTTTCGAGGCGGTTGAGGGTTCAGGGTTTAAATTTAGGGCTTACAGGAGTGTAGGCCTACTTCCTTGAATCAATCACTACCCCCCCAAGCTTGGAACACGGTGCAGCCCATCAAGCCCTTCTTCAAGTGAATGTTGCGAAACTCTGCAGAGCCGAGAAATCTGAAACCCTGAACATAAACCCTGCACCCTAAACCCTGAACACAATCCCTAAACCCCAAACCCTAAACCTTAAACCCTAAACCCTAAACCCTAATGCTATGAAACCCCAGTGAAAGCCGCAACAAGGCAGCCCTCACCTAAACCCTGTGAGACCATGAAAAAGCCCCGAACATTCGGCACTGTACATCTCATGAAGCTCGCTGAGATGACCTTGAACCTGCTACCTTCTATAGAGCCCCGTTGCTGTGGGTTTAGCGTTTAGGGTTTAGGGGTTTGGGGTGTAGGGGTTCAGGGTTTAGGGGTTCAAGGTGCCTCGGTAATCATTTTTTGTAAGGATGGAAGCATCCTCCGCGGCGCAGGTCGGATTTAAGAATTTAGAATGAAACCCAGAGACTCCAATACCCCTTAATTAAGGAATATACCTTAAATCATAGTAGGGATCCTGCTATACTTTAAGGTATATTCCTTAATTAAGGGATATTGGAGTCTCTAAGCAGAGAAAGATGTTGCGACACGCACACAGACAGCAAGCACTTCTAAGAGTGAGTTGCCTCCGGTTGCTCATCAGCAGTCTCTCCGCAAAAGTTGCGCAGATCGAACGCAGTTATCATCCTGCATCCCGGAGACAGGAAGCGCTTCCCAAGGCATGCACTTAGAGACTCCAATATCGCTTAATTAAGGAATATACCTTAAAGTATAGTAGGATCCCTACGATGATTAAGGTATATACTTTAATTAAGGGGTATTAGAGTCTCTAAGTTTGCACACAGGCGGGGCACTCCGGAAAGCCGGTGGTGTTGGAGCCTCTACCCTAAGCGGTTTAGGGTTTAGGGTTTAGGGTTTAGGGTTCAGGGTTTAGGGTTTAGGGTTTAGGGTCATTCAGGGTTAACGCTAAACCTTCAACTCTGAACTGCAAACCTCTGAGCGCTAAGCATTGAATTGGAAAACCCTGGGCTTCTGCACCATAGACTCCATACCCATAGGCCCTAAAGTAGTTCCTTTTTAGGGTTCATATATAGAATCCTATAAAGTAACCCTAAAAAGGAACTACTTTAGGGGCCTATGGGTAGACCCTAAAACCTGAGCTCGAAACCCTGAGCCCCTGAGCCTTAAACCTTAAATCCTCAGCTCTCGGAACCCAAAAAAGCCTAAACCCTAAACCCTAAACCTTAAACCCTAAGCTCCAAAAAAGCCTAAACCTTGAACCCTAAACTCTGAACCCTAAACCCTAAAGCTCTACATGTACACTTCTACAGGCCGACCGGGATGACGTCATCGTCACCAGGGAAGCGCTGGAGGATGAGCTGCAGGGGTTTAGGGTTTAGGGTTTAGCTGCTAAAGAAATCACAACCCTATAGAGGCTCTATACGCCCACTGTAGACCCGGGGTTTCTTATTTAGGGTTTAGGGTTATTTGGGTTTAGGGTTTAGGGTTCGGGTTTAGGGTTATTTGGGGTCAAGTAGGAAATCAACGCCTTCGAGGCTCTACACCCTAGGTAGACCCCAAAGGGTTCTATTCGGTATTTAAGCGGTTCTACAACGGGGTTTAATGAGGGTTTGAAAGGGTTTGGAAATGGGTGTCTATACGGCGTCTCCATATGGTGGTTTAGGTTTTGGGGGTTGCAGGGACAGGATCGAGGCTTCGCGATGTGGCGAGTGGGCTCTATCTTAGTTTTATCAGGGGGTTTGACGATGTGTTGTTTAGGGCTTAGGGTTTACACTCATGATGCAGTTGAATGAGGCTTTGTCAGATTTTGTATGGCTTATCTGCGGCGAAGGCAAATAATTCAGTCAGGCCATGACACCTGGCGGCATGGGTGTTGTCCTTGGTTGAGTAGACTCGAAGCTGCCTGTACATGCACCTCACAGACCCCATCAAAGGCCTAGCGGAACGTGCACCTCCCGCAAAATCACTAAGTTCTGGTGGGATTGCCAGAAAGCTTCAGCATCTCTTGGGGAGTAGGACGAGGGGGAGCAGGATGAGGTGGTTCAAGCCTCAGACATCTGCAGGCAGGAGGAATTTGTTGGACGGTTTTGTGCATGCGGCTGAGGATTCCATGGGGGAGGGTTGTCACAAGAACAGCGAGCTACAGTCAGAGAGCAAGATGGTCGAACCGCAGGATGGAGAGTGAAACGGGTTTTAGGTTTGTGGGGAGAGCGAAAGAGCTATCCCGCGAGCCTGCACATAAGGGCTTGTGGCTTGTACCTGCAAGACATCAAACTGGCTTCGCAAAACTTAACCCCTGCAAAGAACTTGAACCCCAACAGCTAAACCTTGCAGCCCGAAAGCCGTTAAACTTGATAGTAGAACCGTGATCATGAGGGCCCGTGAGTAAAATGCTGCATGTAATGTTCACCTTTCTGTTTTCGAAATCGAGCCCCTTATCCCGCCAAAACCCGTACTCTCTGAACACCAAAACTGGGCCTGAGCCCTAAACCCTAGACCCCCAAACTTAAATTCCTAGACCCTAACCTCGAGACTACAAATCGAACATCCCCACACAACCCTTCAAATCCCTGCAAAAAGCCTTCTAGACCTCAGCCCCCTCCTCTAAACCCTA